TGGCTCAACATCATGAAAATTAAACCTTATTTTCAATAAGCAATCCTGAAAAATATTTGGGGGTGCTTAACTTTTTTCCAGGTGTATAGTTTATTGGTGTCTTGATTGGATGATGATGTTGAAGTGGCCAGCTAAATTCCAGAACTTGATTTGGCTGAAGTGTCATGGCTGAAGTTGTCCAGGGTGGTCCTACAGTCATAGATGGCACAGCAATAGTGATAATAGGTATAGACCCAATAAGTTTTCCTATTCCATATTTAACAGCTAATTGTGTTTTAGGTTGAAAATCGTGGATGGATACTGAAAGAAGTGTGGCTGGTTTGACCTTTGCATTTATCAGTTCATTTTACATATGTTTATTCTGTTACTGATGTTCTTTTTCACATCATTGATCTTGCAGTTATAATCTCTCTGTACTTTTTCAGTTTTGTCACTACAGCTTTCTTTATTTTAGTGTTGTCTTTTTGTATTTCTTCAATCATGTTGTTATAATTCCTCTATATGTCCCCAACAGCTTTATGGATGTTGTCTTCTGTCAGATTGATTTTTCATTTGTAATTCATCTTTAAATATTACATCTCTCTTATAACACCTTTCTTAAATTCCCATCTCTTATCTCGTGATTTTTTTCGTTTTATGTTTCTTTCTTCTTGACCTTCTTTTAATTGTTACATCACCTCCTAGCAAAGTTTCAATCTCACTTTGTGATTGGATTGTTATCTTGAAATTTACTCAAACTTCTATTTTATTTTCACATAAATAATCCTACTTGTGACACCAGTATTGTAACATATTTTATTATTGGGCAGGTTATTTTGGATTATTTGGTAAAAAATAAATATGGCTAAGTCTAGTCCACATAATAATAATGATTTGGTTTATTTCTTCTTTAACGTTTGCTACAGGCTACTTTCACTTATAGTCTAACAATACAAACAACATTTGAACAGAAATTCTGAGGTTAATTTCATGCCTAACTCACAGATAACTTACCTATTAGATGTTCTCTCACCTAAGCCAGCATTGGCTTACCCACCTCTTACTGTGTGATGGGAATGACATACACAAACTACAATTAATCTGGAAAGGGATGCTAATGAACATAGTCATTCTGTGATAATTACCTCAACACCTGCTGCATCTATACAGGGTGTCCTAGAAGTCTGGACCAAAAAGGGAAAAATATACAATGTATTTTTAATTTACTTATTATTCAAATTGCATGGCATGAACAGCCATACACATATCAATTCTTGGTATACTGTGCAATCAGGGTATTTTCTTTCCTAAAATATGTAAAACATTAGAAATGGGTTTTTTAATTTTAAGAATATAATGTCTATTTTCCCTATGGGTCCAGAATTCTGGGACACCCTATACATCTTGCATTAAAGGTTGTTTGGTGTGTGTTAGAAAAAAACCAATTGATTCTATAAAAATTACACAACTCCACAAATTAAAGGATAATGAAATTTTGATATATTTTTTTGAAAATTTGAAGAAAAAGAACATGGAGGTGTTTAATATCGAAGAAACTTGTTTTTTTTACAAATAACATAGGTAAATGATACCAAGGAAGTCAGAATTCATTTACAAATAACAAAAAGCAAAATTAATAAAATGCCAATATTTGGCTGCACAAATGTCAAAGAAAAAAATATGATGAGCAAACTTAGAAATAAGTGTTTAGAAGTTGGTAGGTCCTTTTCTATTCTTTGTGACTTCTCTGCACCTGTTCACCATACTGCTGATGACATTTCAGATGACTTGCTGGGCAGCACAGTCCACTAGTGGATGAGGGAAGCTCTGTGCTCTTGGACAGTCATAGGAGAAGGTTATTTGTCTCTAACTGCTCTTCCTAGCAAGTCCTATACAGGCTCAAACAGATTTAGGTCTGGTAACTTAGCAGGCCAGTCCAGTACCTCTGTTCCTTCATCCTGAAAAAATTGCTACGTAATCCTGGTGGTATGAGAGCTGGAGTTAGCCTGCTTATGCACAAACTTATTTCTGATGGCAACAGCAAAAGGTAAACAGTGAGTAGCATGATCTCATCTACATAATGTCTTGCTGTCAGGGATTCTCCATCCATCACCTACAAGTTTGTATGCCCCTTCATGGAGATGCCACCCCAGACCATGATTGAGCCATCCCCAAAGGCATTATAGTGGACAACATTACAGGTCGAATATTGCCCTCCTTCACATATCCAGGTCCTCACACCTCAATCACTTGAAGAAACATAGAACCTGCTCTCATCTGTGAATGATACAAGGGTCCATTGCCAGAAAGTCCAGGTGACATGTCACTGGGCAAACGACGCTCGCTGTTCAGTGCCTTTGGAACTTTAATTGGTATCCCAGCTGCATGGAGCCCGTTCCTGACTGTTGATATACATACTCAAGTGGCTTTCTGAAGCTCATTTTTGAGGCCACTAGCACTGCTTGGTGGCAGGACATGGAATATTCTTAATGGTTTTGATTTGCTCAACATTTAGTTCAATTATTCCTCCATCTGTGATAATTTATTTGTGATTTTGCAAATGGACATTTAGATGTCTTAACATTTAATTTTTCCTTACATAACTGCAATGTTATATTGAGTCCAAGTTTCATTAAAAACAGTTGCATTGTTCTCTAGTTTAAAGAGAAAAATCTCATTATTATCCACTACAGAGTCCTAAAGGCCTTCTTTCAATATCACGTATTGTCTTTGTACAAGTAGCACCATCCTTTGTTAAGTTTTAAAAGATGTGTAAACTGCAGTACAGTACTGGTGGCACTATCAATAACTTTTTATATTTCCTTCTTTTGGTGTACCAGTCCAGTATATGGCTATCAGTTATAAAATTTTATCAGTGAGAGATATGGGTATTGCATATCAAATCATCATATCCAACTGAAAGGCTTACACACATTGATATCAATGTAGTGGTGCACCAGAGCTTCTTTGTATCATCTCAGCTCTGAAGTATTTGCTTGATATGGAACCTCAAATGTTGATGACAAGAAAAAACAATCCTATTATTTACAATAATTCTGCTTATATTAGCAGTAAAAATAGGTATAACAATTCAATGTAATCTATTTTCATCTGTTGTTATAGTAACATTTTAGTAAATAACTTTTGCCTTTATGAAGTATAGAGAGATGTACTACTTTTGTGAAGCATTGCTAAACGCTACACAAGGTATTTTTTTTGGTGTCCACTTTAACTGGCTTGACAACTTTGATTTATTGTAAAATATGGGTATTTTGACTTGAATAATTTAAATTCTTAGGTATTTACCTCACATTGTAGGCACAAAGCTGAGTAAAATGTTTTTCATTTTTGGCATTATGAAAAAATGTGTTGGGATGCTCCCTTGAAGTTTAGTGTTCTTTTGGGATCAGTGATTATTACCAAGAAAACATCAGGTGCTGACTGGAAAATGGAGTTTGTTTACAAAATTAGTAAATTGTTTAATCACTTCAGTAGGCTTGAACTGTGTTTTTTAGCTACAGTAAGTGATGTAATTAAACTAGAAGCTGGTAGATTTTTCTTTTTGTTGCATTCGTTGAAAAATGTTTAAAACGTACCTTTTCTTGAAATTTTCTTACATGTAATAATTTGTTTAATGTTGAATCTTTATGATTTTCAGATGGTACTTTGGGAAGATAAAGAGGATAGAAGCAGAGAAAAAGTTGCTTCTTCCTGAAAATGAACATGGAGCATTCCTCATAAGAGACAGCGAGAGTCGTAGAAACGATTTCTCTCTTTCTGGTAATATCTGTCACTAATGAATATTTATATTGAAATATTACCTGGTGATTGATTATATGTTTTTATTTGGATGTGTTTATACATGTTGATAAGAAATAACCACACTGAATTTTATTTATTCATCAGCTAGAATACTGGTGTGATGCTAGTAGATATAGCAAAGAAACAATTTAATTGTTTGTTTTTTCTTGTGAAGAAGAAATATTAATATTTCCTAAGTCAGTATTTTGTTGTTCATAGTGAGGGATGGTGATACTGTAAAGCATTATCGTATCAGACAATTGGACGAGGGAGGATTCTTCATTGCTCGCCGTACCACATTCCGCACTCTGCAGGAACTAGTGGAACACTACAGCAGTGATTCTGATGGACTTTGTGTAAATCTGCGGCTACCTTGTATTCAGGTATTCTTTAACAATTGTATTTTTGTTAATAATTTTTAACTAGTGTAATAAATAGTTCAGCCTGCCAGTATGGTTATAGATTGTTTTTTTTTCTTTCTCCTACAGTTATGGCACTTTGTAGCCAGTCTGAAAACATGACTAATGATTATAGTATTTTGGCACTTGTGTATAAAGTTAAAATCATAAATAATATTCAACGTTAAACTGGTACACAATTAAAAACATTTTATTTAAGCCTATCTATGGCCTTCAAGCATGTAGTCGTCAACGTTTTGAAGGCCATAGATAGGCCTAAATAAAATTTTTTTAATTGTGTACCAGTTTAATGTTGAATATTATTTATGATCATGACTAATGACTTTGATATACTGAGTTGTGAAGTTTCCAAAAACTTGTACAAAATAAATGTAATAAATCTGATGTGCTAGTTGTAGTATTTTGGCATGAAACTTTAAAGATGGTTTTTCTGAAAATCCATAAAGTAAAGAAATGTTTTTTGAACATTTGTATTTCAGTGCAGTTTAGTTGTATTTATTTATTTTTATCTAAGCATATTTTTAAAATTTTGTTTTGCAACTTAAGCTAATCTTCTTTCCTTGGATGGAAGACTATTTAAAAGAGTTTGGGTTATTGTGGGGACTCGCACCATTTCTTGACAGTTTTGGAATATGATAAATTGTTAATATCTGGCATACAATTTTCTATGTGGTAATTTTCATTTGGCAAAAAATCTCAGGTTTACAAATTTTAAATATTTAGGTATGAATAGCTTTCTGAAATATCTTTAACCCTTTATCAACACATGACCCTGATGTTTTTTTGCCAAAAAGCTTCAACAACCAACCAGAAATGAAAATGGAATATAGATAATTATACTTGGAAAATGAAAGTAAACTTTTGTAAAGCTAGCACAAGTGGATAAATAATGTCATATATAATACTTGTATAATGAATAACACTGTTTGTTGTTGAAATGGAATTAAGAAAAATCTTAAAAGGTTGAATGTACTTTACTAAATAAACTTTTACATACTTGTGAAAATAAGTTGCTTAGAAAATTCCTTTTAGTCAAACTGTTTGCACCCATAATAAAGATGAAGACGGTTGACAGAACATAAAGCATTTTATTTACAAGGTTTGAACATTTTGGAATATTTATTCCATTTTTAGTGAAATCTGAAAATAGTGTTACAATAATATTTATTAACTAAGCTATAGTACCACTAATAACTATTTTACTTAGATATTGAGTAAAGAGGTAAATGGAAACAAAAAAAAAAGAAAACGGATTATAGAATATATTACAAATGAGTTTCATTCTAACTGTGTAAATTTAGAATAATTATAGGCCTAAAGAGGTTTGTAAGCTGTTAAAGGGTAGAGTGAAGTTTCTTTAAAGTAGAGTTTCACGTCTGAAGATCCTGTAGTAATGATAGAGAAATCATTATATGAAATATTATGACCTGTGGTTTCAACAAGTGAACAAATGGATGAGTATCTAGGTGTAAGTAATGGATAACCAGTTTTGTTTGATACTCCTCAATGTTCACAGACTCTCGTTTTCAAGTGGCATTTTATTTTGCTAATGTATATAACCTTACAGGAGCCATGAATGTAGAATTTTAGGTATTTAATTTAATGGTAGAAGTTTTTTATTAAAGAGAAAAGTTGTGAGCCCATAAAAGGAAGGCAGATAATGAGGGGAAATTTGGGGAGGTGTGCTCAATAGCAGGTGGTTGAAATTTGTTGTTTAGAAAATTGTGAGTAATATTTGTTAGAAAATCAGTTGGATAGCCATTATTTAACAGGTGTTTGTGCAGAAGTATTATTTCGCTGTATAAATTAGAGTAATTCAGGAAACGGTTAAAAATTCTATTCAACAGTGACTTTAGTAGATTACATTTGAAGAAGTTTGGAATAAAATTATTAAACTAATATAAAGGCCTTTTCTACCTCTGTTTATCATAAAAGTGTTTACCTTCTTTAATAATCTTGACGTCTAGGAAAGGTAAAGATTAATTTTCTTTGAGTTCAGATGTGAACGTGATATTGGGGTGTTGGGAATTAAGGAAAGAAAGAAACTTAGAAATGTGACTACATTGTCAAAACAACAAGAAACTGTCATCAGTATAGCATTTGTAAAGGACAGGTTTGAATTTATTAGAGCAGTTTTCTAGCCACTTGTGTTCATGATAACACAGAAAAGTATTGACTGTCATTGGACCCAGCAGGGATCCCATGGGGATTCCATCTATCTGGTCATAGATGATGTTATTAAAGAGGAAATGATTTATCTCTGGGAGAAGGCAAGAATTTCCAAGAATTGTTTATGAGTGAAACCAAGGTACCATTCATTGTCAGAAGGAAAGAGGTCTATGAGTAAATTTAAAGTTTCATCAAGGGGAATATTAGTATAGAGAGATTCAGTGATCAGCAGAGGGAATTTTAGGGATTTCAAAAGTAAAGGTAAAAGAATCTGTGATAATAAATTCATTCAAAGTGAGGGGTTTGATAATAGGAATGATAAATTTGGAAAGGTGGTAATTACAGGAGCTTACAGCTGAGAAAACAGGGTGGAGAGGGAATCCAATTTTGTGCATTTTGGGTAGGCCATTAAATAATACTGGGTTTAGTGCCACATGGAGCAATTAAAAAGTAAAGGTTCTGTAAGCCTTTTCCAAATTATAAAAGTAATTAGCATAGTTGAGTTTGAAAAGTGGAATGCTAAAATTAAGACTTTTGATTCCTTGTTTACTAATATATTCTATAATATATTTTTTCTTTTTTCCTTCTGTTTACCACTTTACTCAATATCTGAGTAAACTAGTTATTAATGATACGGTAGCTTAGTTAATAAATATCTTTGTAATAGTATTTTCAATTTTTCTGAAGATGGAATAAGTGTATTATGAAATGTTTGAGCCTTGTAAATACAATGTTGTGCTTTGCCAACCATCTTCATCTTTATTATTAGACTTTGTTTTCCCCATTATGAATCAATTACCAGTAGTAAATGCATATTTAAGAATTTATAGATTGTCTTTCTTGATATCTTCTTGTACAAATGGGCATCAATACAGCAATCTTTTCATTGTTGTTTAGAGAAAAGTTAAAGTTTACTTTGTTATTGGTGAGCATTAACAAAATTAATCAGAAGAATTGGTTGTTTCTGTTAGAATTTAGCTTAAAAGAAGAGAATAGCAACAGTAAAATGGTACAACTTTACTTTGAATGTTTTACTATACAGTAAAATACATAGTAATATGGTATAGTTATGAAGTATAGCAAAATAATTACATATTTGCCACTTACATTCAAAGGCATTGAAACAAATGGCAGAAGTTTAATTTTTGCTGCTAGGGCCTTTTAATATTATAACTTATGTTACTTTCCTGTATAATATATCAAATCTTGTCATTCCTTTCAAGGTGCATTATATTATGAATAATTTACATTAAAATTTTTTTCTTGGATATTTTAATATTTAACTGATATTTTTTTAACTTACTAACTTAAAATTAAAAAGTCAAAAGATGTTTATTTTGATGCAATTAATTTGGTGAAAAAGGGGTTGTAAACAAAATTCAGCAGAAATGATATTTAGATTTAGATCCGAATTTGTGCTATTAGTGCTTAATATGAATAAAATTCAATTCTTATCAGTATGATTATGAATACTTCAAAGTTTATCATTGAAATTGGGAACTTGCATACATATCAAAAAATTATATAGGAGCATGGGTCCTGGGAACTCTGTCTTGAGGAGGATTATGTGAGCCATGGAGATTGTCATAAAGATTGTACAAAATATTACATAATCCAGGAACTCTGTAATGAATATTTTACAGAATATCATAAAGGTACTGTAAGTCTGTCATGAAGATTATACAGAAGATTATAAAGGTCCCGGGAACTTCTTAGTTTGTATTATGTGGAAAAAGCAGAAACAATTAACACCAAGTTAGTAAAGGTATTAATAGCTAGTCTAGTGATTTGGAGAGTGACATTTTACTTGCTGTTTTATAAGTTCATATAAAAGAAAGTCACTTCAGTTTTATAGTTTTAGGCACAAAGTAATGAGCATTGAGAATTTTAATTTTTGTATTTATTGATGGGTAAAATGCATTTAATATCAAGAATCCACATAAGCAGGACTTTAATTATTTTTGGTTCAGAAAATCAGAATGAAATATATTGTTGTTTTTTAGATAGAAAAACCAACAACAAGTGGGCTGTCTCATAACACCAGGGATCAGTGGGAGATAGAGCGTGTTTCTCTGAAATTTGTGCGAAAGCTCGGCCAGGGCCAGTTTGGGGAGGTTTGGGAAGGATTATGGAATAATACTACTCCAGTAGCCATTAAAACTCTTAAACCAGGTAAATATAAACTTTAGAATGATTACCTAAATATTACATTAGTAGCAAATGGATGTACTAAATTAGGTCAGTATAAATTGTAAAATAATTGGTGAAAAATGGTACATCAGTAACCATAAAAATAATAGTAAACCAGGTAAGAATAAACTTTAGAATGATTATTATATTATATTAGTAACAGATGAAAATACTAAACCAGGTAAGTAGCTTTGCATGATTATTGGAAAATGAAAAATATTACATCAGTAACCATCAAAACATTTAAACCAAGTGCTAGCACTGACAAAAAAATAGTTAAGAAATTCCACACTTGTAATTTATACTTTAATGATGATTATAGTAAATGTTGTATTGTGCAGGAACAATGGATCCTAAGGATTTCCTTGCTGAGTTAAGAAATTCCACACTTGTAATTTATACTTTAATGATGATTATAGTAAATGTTGTATTGTGCAGGAACAATGGATCCTAAGGATTTCCTTGCTGAGGCTCAGATCATGAAGAAGCTACGTCACCCTAAGCTTGTCCAGTTGTATGCCGTCTGTACATTAGAAGAACCTATCTATATAATCACTGAGCTGATGAAGAATGGGAGTCTATTGGAGTATCTGCAAGGTAACTGTTAATAGTACCTCACATGTCTGGTTAAAGCTGACATAAGTGACTTATGACACTATGTATCATACCTAATTACAGCTAACCTCCATTGTCATGTCTTGTGTCTCCCTCTGTTGTGCTTTGATAGTATCTTGTGTCTGCAGTTAAAACTAAGTTTCACTGTCTTATGATGTATTTTGTTGAAATTAATTTCACCATCATGTAATAGTATCTTATGTTTGCTGTGTAGATATGAATTTCAGTTGTTGAAATTAAATTAATGTTATTACACATCATATGTGGTTTTTATTAAAGTAACAAGACTGGAATATGTCCATTTTCAGAAAATTAATTTTTTTTTTCATTTTTCTGTTAATACTGATAATGAGTTGATCAAGTCTTAGACAGAAGACTTCATTTCTAAAGAAGCCTGAGTCACATAAACATTGTAGAACATGAGGAATGTAATAATGGCTGGAGACGGCTTGAATGGGTAATGAAGAAAAACTTTAATATAACAGCAAATGTACAACGTTTCGACAAGGTTTTGTCATCATCACCTGATGATGACAAAACCT